AATGAATTTATCTGGTCAGATCTCATGGTACTAAATCACGTAATAACATTTAACAAACATCCAGTCGGAAGGTCACCGACCCAGCAGAGACCTGAGGGCAGAGGTGAGCACAGAGGAGAATAAAACAGACAACAGGAGAGAAAAGGTCCCACTGTGCGTGTCAGGGCAAACGCATCCCCGAGAAGTCGCACCATTTCAGGTAACAACCACCACTCAAACTCACTAAGAGGCAAAGAAAAATAAATAAAACAACAGGAAAAAGAAAAAGAAAAAAAACCCCAATCGTATTCACATGGTTCTGAAATATCATATTCTCAGACCGGCTCACACACCCGCCCACCGGCCCTGACTGGTCGCGGCGAGCCTGCCCCTGCACCTGGGCAAAGGTCCCCGACACCGAGGGCAAACCAGGAACTGAACGAGGAAACGGCGCGGCCGTTCGTCCGTCCACAGCCCGGGGCCTCGGAAGCTGCGAGTCCAGCTGCTCCGAGCTCCGACGGCCCCCTCGGCTCGCCTGCCACCCGTCTAACTGGGTGAGTCTCTCGCCAGAACTCTGAGGCCCCCAGGAAGGAACAGTGGGGTGACAGCTATCTGCGACTGGACACAGCAGAGCAGACCACTGGATGACGAAACTTTTTTTTAAAGATTCTGTCGCTTTGAACTTACGAGAGTTTCCACGTATCTTAACATATCAAACGAGTTCAGATCGGACCGCAGCTGCTTGGCCTTCTCTTTGCCCAGATCTGAGGCCAAAACAAGAAAGTGGGCGTCCAGGACGGCTTCCCTGGCTCGGGACACTGTTCGGGAGAGAGACACGCGTTACACCGCCCGCCGCGGGCCCTGCGTTTCCAGCCGTGAATCACGCGCCCTTCCCGCCAACCACCCATCTCGCTGGAAACACTGGCTCCCCGCCCAGCTCGCCACGCTCTGGAAGCAGAGCCGACCAGTCTCCCTAGAGCCAGCCGCCTCCACTTCTACTCCTGGGAGCCCAACCGCCACCTTTCGTAACCGCGACTAACAAAGCCTCCGTCTTCACAGAGGGCTTTTCCCTGGACTCCAACAGCCCAGCCCCGACACTGTCAGACTGCACCCCACTGCGCGCTGACGGGCCCACTGCGCGCTGACCGGCCATCGGGAGTGGTCAAGGAGCCTGGGCTGAAACAGTGTGAGGGCCGGGCGTCCCAGGCCCCACCCTGCAGGCGGGGAGGCAGTGCCCTCTGAGGATGGACGATCCAAAAAGATCGGACCGCGGACATGGAACTAAAGATAAGCTACTGCAGGCCCGGCCCTGCGGCTCAGGGGTTAAGAATCCACCCAGGAACCAGGAGATCGGGGTTCAATTCCCCCTGGGGGCACAGGCCTGGGTTGCAGCTGGATCCCCAATAGGGAGTGTGCAAGAGGCAGCCGATCCGTGATTCTCTCTCACCATTGATGTTTCTATCTCTCCCTCCCTCCCTCTCCGATATCAATAAAAAATACATCTTTTTAAAAAATAGACGCTACAGTGAGAGATTTAAATAAGATGAGAGGGAAGTGGGAGGGGGGCTGAGGATGAACTTGGGGCGAGGAGGGGAGCGGCCTCCGAGGGCAGCAGGGCTGAGGGCTGGGTTCCGGACCCACAGGACGTGGAAAGATGCCCCGAACAGGAAAGGCCCAGCGGAAGGAAGCCCCGGGAGATGCCCACGGCCGAGTTCAAACAGAACTGCCGCCGGGCTTGCTCCCCAGGCCCTGCTATTGGCATCACCCCTTCCTGGACGCTCCTGGGCTGGGGGCCTGGCGACCCCCGCTTCTGTGTTTACGGGTCATTTCCCCCGTGTTCCAGGGGAGCCTGTGCATGGGACCACGGGTGAGAGACGCTGGAGCCTGGTTCCGGGGACCGTGTGATGTCAGCACAGCGGCTCTGATGGTCCCCGAGCACCTGCCACGAAGGGCGCCCACAGGGAACGCAAAGGGCAGGAAAGATGCATCGGAAACGAATACAGAAACCACCTCCATTGAACAGGGTGTTGGCCTCCTCCAGGACCTCGGTCAGCCGGTCGCTGGCGTTCAGGATGTCCTCCCGGTTCTCTGTCCCAAAAACACACACACTGGCAAGGGGGCTGGCCCTCCCGCCCGCGCGCCCCCCGCCCCCGCGCCTCCCGCGCCCTCATCTTTTGAACCAAAAAGGCGCCTTGGAGCTTGGAGAAGGCCGCGCGCCCCAGGCGACCGAGACTCCAGGAGGCGGCTCCCTCCACCCGCGCCCGCAGCCGGGGCGCAGCGCGGACGGGGCGGTTCGCGAACTTGGGGAGTCCCAGGAGCCCCCGGGCCACGCCGCGCAGGGGACCCGCGCAGGGGACAGCTGTCCGGGCTGCCTGCCCCCCGTCCCCCCGGCCGTCGGGCTCGGCCTCCGCGGTGCCGTCCGCCGGGGGACCCGCCCCCGCAAGGTCGTGCGGCCCGAGGGAGACGAGGGATGCAGGGGGCCCTCGGGGAGCCGCCCCGCCTGCACCCCGCGCTCCGTGCCCCCGCCCCCCGCCTTACGCTGCACCGAGTTGATGAGCGCCCGGTACTGGTGGCGGATCTGGCGGCACAGGCCGTGGTCCGTCTCCGCCTCCAGGCTCGCGGGGTCCAGCAGTTCGTCCCCCGAGTCCGACGGCTCCTCGTCCTCCAGGCTCGGGCGCTCGGGGGCCTCCCTGCGCGCGGGCGCGGCGCCGCGGCGGGACCCCAGCGGGGAGCGGGAGCGGGAGCGGGAGCGGGGGCGCCCCCGGTGCGGCTCGCGGGCCCGGCCACGGCCCTCCGGCCGCCGCCCGCTGCTGTCCCCCGACATCGCCGCGCCGCCACCTCGGGCGGAAGTTCGCGCCAGAAACTGAAACCCGGAGCCGCGAGCGCGCTCCCCGCGGGTCGGCCGGGGCCGCCGGCGCACAGCGCCTCCCCTGGCCGGAGGCCGGCACTGCAGCGGCCGAGCGGCGCGCGCGGGCAGAGCGCCCCTCGCGGCAACTCGGGGAACCACAGGGGCCGCAAGCCCTCTGCCCCGCCCTCTGCGGCCCGGGACCCCGCTCTCACGCCGGTCCCCGCGCCCGCGCCCCCGGCTTCCGGGGGGCCGTGGCGCCCAGCACCCGGCCACGGTCTGGCACGGCCTGGGCACGCAGCGCCCCTTCTACCTGCGTGTCTGCACCACGTGGCTGACTCTCAAAACCCCGTTCAAAAATACGCGGCACAGGTGGGTTACGTTCGGTGCCGCCTCAAGGACAAACGTATAGACTCCATCCCGTGCATTTCGGCGTTGACTGCAAATGCTGTTCTCCCGACGTCCTCTCTGGTGCCGAGAGCACATTTTCTCACGGGAGCATGAGCACACAGGCCTGCAAAGAGCTCACTTTCTGCACCACGGCTGCCTTTCATTGCGGCCTGGCGCCGACACCCACCCTACCTGCGCGCTGGGTCTCAGGAGGGAGACCTCCGCCCCCTGCTCCGCCGGGCGGACGGATGGTAGATGGGACGTGGTTCCACCAGCACCTGCGCTTGCACCCCAGGCCCTGGGCTTTCCTAGCTTCCCCTGTTCCACCTGGATAGCTCCCTCCTCAGCAGTGTGACTGTGAAGGTACCTGCCCACTTGCCCATCCCTTTCTAAACATTTTTTTTTTTATTGATTTCAGAGAGGGAGAGGGAGAGGGAGATGGAAACATCAATAATGGCAGGATCATCGATTGGTGATTGGTTGCCTCCTGCACCCCCCACATTGGGGATGAGCTGCGGGGCGTCCCTGAACCACGTGGCCTGTGCTTCCCACCGAGCAGCCTGCCTGGTGCGCCCCCTGCAGTCGCTGCCCAGGAGCCCCCCGGGGAGCGGGAGCCAGGGCCAGGCACAGACACAGGGATGAACCCCCTGTGAGCCCTGCAGTGAGAGGTCTCGGGGTCCCCCTGCCGGGGCACAGGGCTCGGCTGCTCCCAGAACCCAGTCCACGCCCCAAAAGGAGGGCAAGGAGGGTCCGTGTCCTGGGGCTGCTGCTCCCATGACTGCAGACCGGCCTCAACCCACAGGGACACGTGCTCCGCCTTCTGGGGCCAGAACCTGAAATCAGGGTGTCGGGGGCTGTGCTCCCCCGGGGGCTCCAGGGAGGGTCCTTTCCTGCCCCTTCAGCTTCAGGGGGCTCCTGGCCTCACCCCATCAAACTTCAGGTGATCTGTCCTCCATCTCCACGTGACTTCCCAGGTATGTTCACACAGCCCCGCCCCTGTTCACGTGACATTTTTAAATATATATATTTTATTATTAATTTCAGAGAGGAATGGAGAGGGAGGGAGAGAGAAGCATCAGTGATGAGAGAGAACCACGGGTCGGCTGCCTCCTGCACGCCCCCCACTGGGGATGGAGCCCGAAACCCGGGCCTGTGCCCCGACCGGGAATCGCACCCCGACCTCCTGGCTCATAGGTCAAAGCTCAACCCCTGAGCCACGCCAGCCGGGCCCTCCTCTTTCTCCTTTTTGCACAAAGGTAGCATATGACACACACCGTTCTGAATCTTCTGTTTGGTCCCATTTAATGACGCATCTTGGGGAGTTTTCAGTGTTGATGCATAAAGAGATCCACATCCTTCGGGACAGTTACCGCTTTCCTGCCGCCTGGACGCCCCTTCCTCCCCTGAGCCCTGAGCCCCGAGGGCCAGCGCTGGCCTCCGTCCTGCTCCTTCTCCCTCCTCGGGGCTCACCCACATTTCGGAAAGGACAGCTTGGCTTTATGAGGTCAGTAGAAGCTGACGAGGATCGGTCTCTGTTTCCTCGAAGCCCTTCTGATTTTATAGCCCTTCATCTCCTCCCTCCTCTTCTTCTTCCTCTCCTCCTCCTCCTCCTCCTTCTTCTTCCTCATAAGTCTGCTTTGTTTTGAAAGGTGGCTCATCCGTCCCCAACACGTGGAACTGCCTCAAGTCAATGAAACTGCAGCCGAAGGCGGTCGAAACTGGCTTTGGATCTCAAACAAACCCGGAGCGAGAGGAGCGGCCCAGGCAGTTCGGGACCTGCACACGCTGCCCCGTCCTCCTCCCTCGGGCAGAGCTTTCTGGAAAGCCGCCGCCAGGCCAGGCCAGGCCGGGGTCAGATTGCTGGCGGCCGCTGCCTCCCAGGCCCGCGTCCCAGCCACAAGCCCGTGCACATTTATAGCAGCTTCCATGTGATCCGGGCAGACGAAGGGCGAGGGCAGCCCGGAGCGCCGGCATCCGGAGAGCCTTCCTGCTCCCCCCCAGGGGCCCCGGTAAGTCAGACGGAGGGACGGCTTCGTCCTCTGGGCGACGTGCGTGCGGCTGGGGAGGGTTTGGCTGCTGAGAGTAGAGGGATCCGTGCATTTCTCGTTCTTTCTTTTTCGGTGAGAAGGGAAATGAGAAGCACACCTGAGCCTCCTAACCGCCTCCCTCCCCCTTCAGGTCGCCTTCTAAACACATGGACTGAATTTTTCTTTCCCGTCAGGGAGGCTGTGGCCCCCCTGGTCTGTTCACTGTGAAGTAAGGCTGAGCAGTTCCCTGGCCTCCCAGGGGCCTGCGCGTGCAAATGAGAAGTTCAAGTCCCGGGATTCGCTGGGAGGTGAGCCGAGAGAGGCCCCTGGCCCCGACCCGCCAGGAGTCTGTGGGAAACGGTTATTTTTAACCTCCTGCTGGTGTTGACTGAGGGTTTGCACCGCGCCTCTCAGACTCCCACAAGCACATCGGACACTGCGGCTGCCAAGGGGCGCTGCTCTGGGAGCTCACAAAACCTGGGGGTTCCCAAGCCGGACGGGAGGTCGGCTACAACGGAGCCACTGGGCCGCAGTGACGTAGGGCTGGTCCTAACCTGGGAGAATCCTGCAGCCGGTCCAGTGACACACGGTGGAGTGTGTGCGTGTATGTGTGCGTGTGTGTGCGTGTGTATGCGTGCACATGCGTGTGTCCCGTTTGCCAGCATGCTCCTCCACAGAAGTGCAGACTGGAAGTCTTTTTTATTTTTTTTGTTAATCCTCGCCCGAGGACCTTTTTTCCCATTGATTTTTAGAGAGAGTGGCAGTGGAGAGGCGAGAGAGAAACATCGATGTGAGAGAGACACAGCAAAGGGCTGCCTCCTGCACATGCTCCCACGGGGGCCGGAACAAACCTGTAACCCAGCCCTTGACTGGGAATCGAACCCGAGACTGCCGGTGCTCAGGCCGACGCCCTGCACTGAGCCACCCCGGCCAGGGCCAGCCTGGAATTCTCTCTCCAGGCGCTGCGCTCGGTCTAACCTGTGACATCTGCACAGAGTGCGCCCGGGGCACCCCCCGGGCTGAGCTAGTTGAGTGTTTGACCAGATAGAGCAGCTGACTTTAAGTCGGTCATTGTGTGTGGCCCACGAATGATGCTAAACGTGTCCAATGGCCCTGGCGGGAAAGAGGCCCCCATCCCGGCTCATAAGAAAGAGAAACCCGCCCCGGCTGGTGTGGCTCAGTGGGTGAGCGTCGACCTAGGAGCCAGGAGGTCAGGGTTCGATGCCCGGTCAGGGCACATGCCTGGGCTGTTTGCTCGATCCCCGGGGGGGGGGGGGGGGCGTGCAGGAGGCCACTGATCCATGATTCTCTCTCACTGATGTTTCTATCTCTCCCTCTCCCTTCCTCTCTGAAATCAATAATAATAATATTAATAAAACAACAAAAAAGAATGAGCCGTTTTCAGAGCGAAGGACAAAGGCAGGTCCCCAAACTCCACTGGCCCAGGCGTGTGACTTCTCGGGCGGGTCGCTGGGTGCAATGACAGGTGCACTGGCGGCCTGCAAGGGGGTTGCTTAATAAGCCCCTGGCGTGGTTGGGGGGGCAATGGGGGGATGGAGGTGGGGGGCCAGGACAAGCACAGGAAACCCAGCTCACCTTGATGCCGACCTTGGTCCGAGGCTCTGATCTGCAAGGAGCCCAAGGGGGCGGGGGGTGGGGGTTGTCCATCTCACCGCAGGAGGCCCGGCCCAGCCTGAAGCGCTGGGAACCGCAGCTGCCGTCAATTCCTAGTCTTTGGTGAGAGCAGCAGGGAGCTGCCCTACAGACCAGCCAGGGGGCGAGCCTCTGAGCCCCTGGACAGTTCGGGGCCTGTCCCGGGCCTCCCTTAGTGGAGAAGGTGTTTTCATCATCCTACCTGCTGCCCACGCGGGTGCTTGTTTCAGTCGTGGGCAGCGCCGTGGATGGCCGGAGCCACGGAGGAGACCTGCCACCTGCCAGGGTGTCCCAGATGTTGGGGGGGGTGGGTGCTGTTTGCCGTTGGCCAGGTGGGGAGCCGCTGTGAGGAGGGAGTGCCCGAGTGTGTCACCTAAAGAGGGGAACCTGCTCCAGCCGCAGTCAGGGGGGTGGTGCCAGAGAGTCAGAGAGAGATCAGACCCAGCCACACGCCCACGTCTGAATACAGCGGGGATGGCGCAGCCTGGGTGGTCAGGAGGCTGAGACACGCGGAAGGTCCGGGTCCCCCCAGAGCCGGGCCGCCTGGTGGGGGGGCTCCCCGTGATCCCTCTCGGGCTGTGCTCGCTCTGTGGGAAAGGACGCAGAGGGGATGGTGGGGGGAGGCTGGCGTGGTTGTGTCTAAGGGGACCCCCGTTTTCATTTCGAGGGGACGTGATTTTGTGGGTGACTCTGTGAGATTAAGAAACATGGGTCTGTATTGCCCTGGTCGGGCGGTTCAGTTGGTTGCGCTTCATCCCTTGACAGGGTTTGATTCCCTGTCAGGGCCCCTCCCTAGGTTGTGGGTTCGATCCCCAGCTGGGGCACGTCTGGGAGGCAACCGACGGATGTTTCTCTCGCTCGCTTTTCCTCTCTCTGAAATCAGTAAAAACACATCCTCGGGTGAGGATTCAAACAAACACAAAACAAAACAAAGCAAAACAAGGTTCTGGGTCCACTGGCGGTCGGTCCCGCAGAGCCCAGGCCTGGACTGCGCTTCTGCGGCCGCTGACCACGGTTCACGCTGGGACCGTCAGAGCTACTCTGCGTCTCCTGTTTCATAGCAGAGCGATGAGACACAGCCCTGGTGCAGGTCAGTCACAAGATCAGCGCGTGCTCCGTCCCGGGCAGAGCATTTGGCGACATTGCTGGCCCTGCCCTGGGGGCAGCTCACCCCTGGCATTTGCTGGGTGTGCGTCCTCGCCGCCAGCACCGGCTCCCGCCCCAGCCTGTCCCTGCTGCTCACAAACGCCTCCTCCTCCGTCAGCGTGAAGGAAAGATTCCGGTGGACATGCTGGTCAGCAGCGGAGGGAGGGGAAGGAGCCAGCGCCAGGTTCCAACCTTGGAGAAGCCCCGAGAGAGAGAAGAAATGGTGCCCAATGGCGTCGCTGGCACCAGGGCTTCTTGTCACATGGGCGGGTCCTAGAAGGCGGAACCCGGGATGTTACCTGGGAGGGGTCCTCACACATGGAAGCCAGGTAGCAGCGGCCAGACACACGGTCCTAGGAACCAAGCCGACATAGACGGGAGAGAAGGGCTGACTGAGGGCCCGGGAAGCAGCCCTTGGCCTTCGAGGCCTACAGGAGACCTGGGTCCCACATCTGAAGTTCAACAAGGAAATTTGGTTTGGAAAATGCAAATCAAAAGCAGCTTAAATCCCTGGCAGATCGCATGACACGTGATTTATTTCAATCAGGAAGGCATGGCCTGATTCCCTTCCCAGCTCCCCCTGGCCGGCGGGGTGGGCTCGGGCCCCGGAGTGGACCCGTCACTAAAGAGGAGGAGCTTTCTTTCTTTCCCCACCCTCCCTCCTTTTCTTTTTGAATTCTTTATCACGGGCTTTTCAAGCACGAAGTGGAGAGACTGTCACGAGAGTCCTCGCCTACCCACTACTGGGTTCAACAAGTATCTACATGCAGCCCACGGCCTTTCATTCATTCTCTGCTTTCCGTTCATGCCTGCCCTCCCCCACTTCCATATTGTTTTAAAGCAGCGGTTCTCCACCTTCCTCTCGCCGCGACCCTTTAATACAGTGCCTCATGTTGTGGTGACCCCCAACCATAACATTATTTCCGTGGCTACTTCATCACTGTCATGTTGCTACTGTTACGAATCGTCATGTAAATATCTGATATGCAGGACGTATTTTCATTGTTACAAATTGAACATAATGAAAGCATAGTGATTAATCACAAAAACAGTATGTAATTATATGTGTTTTCCGATGGTCTTAGGCGACCCCTGTGAAAGGGTCGTTCGACCCCCAAAGGGGTCGCGACCCACAGGTTGAGAACCCCTGTTTTAAAGCAAATCATCCCATCACTCAATCAGTAATAGCAGCTCATGCATCTTGAAAACATAAGGACTCTTCGTTTGTATGCGTATAATCATGATTTATGACCACACCTAAAAAACACACAATGCTTCCTTAATATGAAAGATTATCTTAGTGTTCAGATAGGTCCCTGACTGTCTCATTTTTTCTGTTTTGTTCTTACGGTCGCTTTATTTCAGTCAGGATCCCAACAGGAACCACAAGTTGCTTTGGGCTGATGTATCTCTTAAGGCACTTTTCCACCCTCCTCCCTCCGGTTTCCACCTCTCTCCTGTATTCTCCGTTATATACACTAGTATCACCCGAAATTTCCCATGTCTGCCACCATTACAGCTCTCTTTTCCTGCAGGTTCTTTTTGTCATGGTTATAAGAGTAACCTTAAGTCCTTGTTTGCTAATTCAAATGTCTGGGTTATCTCTGTGTCTAGTTATACCCACTGTTCTCCCTCTTCACATACCGGCTGTTTGCTCTGGTGTTTTGGATATTGTACTGATACATTGTAGGCGCTGGATACTGTTGGGGTCCAACCCCAGCAGGTCCAGGGGTTCCCAAAGGTGTGGACGGAGTCCGCAAAGAAGGAATGACACGGAGGCAGTATTCAATTGATCATCAGCCTAACCAGGTTCTCTCTTTATTCTCCTGTTACATCTGTATTTATACCAGTTGATTTTAATCCTATCCATTCTATTCCAAAGGTTAGGGCGTTTCTTATCTCCATTCCAAGGTCACTACTCTATTGTTCTGTTAAGCTACAAGGAAGTAACTGAAGGAGATTATCCTAAGTAAAGATTATGTAGCTTAAGTGTGATTGTTCATAGGTAAGGTGATTAACTACCTGCTTGGTACTTAGTTAAGGGGTTTTGTTCCCTCCCTAACTCCAGGGGAAAATCCCCACCTGGGGAAACAACCTTTCTCGGGGAGGTGACCTTGGTTAAAACACATAGCGCTAAAAAGGGGAGCAAACATATTAAGAACAGGATGCTATATATGCCAGGT